TAGGGAAGGTGTAGGGGAGGGTATTATGCTCATAGACTCGCACATCATTTCACAGCTACGGTTACGAGTATGCCCCTACCATAGCCCTAACCTTCCTTAGGTGGCAGATTAGTTCACACGATAAGCCAAAGAAACGCCAAAGTGGTAGCTGTTGTAGTTCCACTTGGTTGCCAACTAATATGAATTTGATATTTATGGCCAAAAGCAAATGACGATTGCCTGTCTGTCATTAAGAATGTGAGAAAACTTTCGTGGCCAAAGAGTGCGTGTGCCAAAGCTTGGACAAGATACAGCCTCAAGAAAAAAATAAAACTCCCAAAAAAAAAAATAAATGACTTACACCTGCAGCTGCCAAAAAAAAAAAAAACAGAGAAAACCCTTAAAGTTGATCCAAGATCCAAGACGGTTACGCTTGAAGGCTTTGCCTGAGAAAAGAAGACGTTTATGTAGAGTTCTTTTTTGAAAAAAAGACTAAGAGGAGACTGTCTTTCTCAACTCCTGTCTGAAAAAGGGTTCGTTTCCATGCTTAATTTAACAAAATTAAAATATAAACAAAAAGAAAGGGATATACTTTAAAGAAACTTTATTTTTTGGGGGTTGTGGCAAGCTAAACTTTAAACAAAATCTAAGAACTAGAAATTAGAATAAATTAGTGATCGAAAAAACAACATAATTAGAAAAAAAACACACTCACAAGACCAAATTGAGACATAAATTGACTTTTTATTGTATTTTTCTCTGTTTTTTTTTCTGTTTGGACCGGAAAACACTTTCCATTTGGGCTACTGTTGTTGCATTTTCATTTCCATTAACATTAAACATCAAACATTAAACACCAACAAGCATTACCATTACCAGTTCGTCGGAAATTCAATTTCGATGAACACAAACAAAAGACTTAAGACACGAACTCGACAACTCGTGGAATGGTAACAGTTTAAAAGGTTCATTGAACATCAACAATAAAAACAACAATAACATGGACAACATGAACAACATGGGCAACAACTTTCGAATGGTGTTTTAGTTGTTGTTGTTGTTGTTGTTGTTACAATTACCAAAAACAAGATTGAAGACGAAATGCGGGTGTACAACTTGGAATACAAATACCTCTGTTACCAGCATTCCCTCTTTAGTTATTTTCTGTTGGCCCTGAAATAACAATACTGACCATGATGATTTTGACCAAAAAAACAGACCTTTAAAATTACCAAAAAAAAAATATATATTTCATAAAAATTTAAATAAGGTTTTTGTTTGTCAGTTTGTCAGGGGAATTGATGAGTTGGCAACATTAATTAAAACTCCAAAAAGTCATTGAAGCAAGAGAATATATGAACTTGAATCTAAAAAAAAAATTTAATTTCTATTTAAAATACTTATTTTTTATTTAAACTTTCTAAAAATAAGCCTATGACTTGATAATTTTTATTAAATTATTGAGAAACCCTTTGGGAAACCAATTTTTCTGTTGACTTTCGGCAGCTTTTAGCCAGTTTCATTTGCATTTGTTAACCAGAAAGCGGGACAGTCTCCCCCCTCTCGTTTTGGGGAAACTCATTAGCTAATCGATCGATTGTCCCTTTTTTTTTTGTTGTGCTCCCCCTGTCTCTAATTGAGACACAATCGATCACAAAGTGAACCCAAAAATCGTTTCAAACTCGCTCTTCCGCTGCAGTTGGAGAAAAACCAAAGTCATTGTTGGATGTTTGGAATTTTCAATTATGTTGTTCGATTGCCGATTCAAAATTTACATTTTCAATTTACATTTCCCGTGTTTCTGTTTTTGGTTTAAAGCCGGAGCTAAAAAGTTAAATCTTCAAGTCGGGCACCAGCCAAACCAAAATTTATTTTTTCGGTCAAGATAAAGGTGAAAGCGTCTCACTTTGGCGGCAAGATTAGAAATTCTTGTTTTTTTCATTTCTCCAAATTTTTTTCGTTGGTTTTTTCTTTGCTTTTTTTTTGGTTGGTTGGTGGTAATTGTAATGGTTATTGCACTTGTCCGAGTAATTGTTATTGCTTTTAAGCCATCAGAATACCCATTTCCGGCTACTAAATTCTCTTTTTGGCTTTTTTGTAGATTTTTTTCAAAGTATTTCAATCAGATATCGAGCAAAACAAGACAGTGATTAGAGGAGGGTTTGTTTTGAAAAATTATTAAACAAAAATATTTAAAAAGTTTTAAGGGAAAATATAAAGTTTCTCATGAAAGTCTAGGTATTCTTTTTTTTAGAAAATCTAATTTTTCAAACCACTGTTCTTGGACCCAAAAAATAATTCGCCAGCTTGCGGGGTTCCTGCTCTAGATTCAAGTTTGGAATTTGATGGCCAAAAGCCATGAAAAACGGTTTGCTGCTGGAAAACTATATATTTTTTCACCCCCAGAGCCCGCATGCCTTTAAGCCAAGAAACAGAGGCAATGTGTGGTCCGATTTTTTGGGAAAGAAAAAAAAGAATCATTAAGAAAGCCATAGCCACCCACAGCCAAAGGCCAAAAAAATCGGAGACCACCTTGGAAAAATTCCAGTTAAGATGCTTATGCTTCACATCCGAATGATTGATGAGAGAAATGGAGATTGTGGGGATTACAGATGACTCTTGTGTGTAAGTTCAGATCCCCCTCCATCCATGAAACAATAAACTGGCTTTTCAATTAGCCAATTAAAACCGGGCCAATTGGCAATTGGCCGAGGCACTGACATTTGTAATTACAGGTGGAGCGATGCCATAATTTTCGCAATTGGAGTTGCAATCGCGAGGCAGTACGGAAGTTGCACAAAGTCCGCTGCTTCTAGATCATTTCAGTCTTTAGGTACTGACAGTCTGGCCGTCAGTCAGTGGCAGCAGTGCCAATCAAAACGGAAGTTGCCACTGGGTGTAGCATCCACTTGTTGCGCGGATACATGCGCGGATGTTGTTTTTGTTATTATTATTGTATTTTGTGGCACACACGCTTCCGTTTGGGGCGCCACACAAGCAATAGCCAGAGGAAGCGATCAGTGGTGATCTTCCCCTCTAATTGATTGATTGCAGAATTGCAAGAAAAAATAGAGAAAAAAAAATGGAAAAACTGATATGTTCAATCAACTGGATTTTCTGGTCCAAAAAGGGTTACACCTTCTTCAATTACTTCCTTTTAATTTAATTAGTCTATAATTTATAATTGTAATTCAATTATTATCATTATACAATATTTATTTTGATTAAAATAATTTCAATAATTTAAGAATCATTTCCTATTTTTTTTATATCCAAGCCAATCCCCTTAATAATATGTATTTTTTAGCTCTAGGCCTCGCCCTTTTTTTTTGTTAATTAATTAACATTTGAAATTCCAATGGGCGCTACCCTGTGACCCCAATCGCAGTTTATTTAATTTTTTTTCACAGCTTTGGGTTAATTTCTATGAAAAAATGGAAAAAAAAATAACAAATTGATTTTGTGGTTGCTGCCGTTTTTCTGTCAATTAATTGTTTCACAGTCTTGACGGCTAATAAATTATAAATACACCAGAAAAAAAGACAAAAATGTAAATTGATTATAGGTGACTTTTCAATAAAATTATCATTAATCAAAATGTTGGAAAAAATTATGAGAAAAAACTTAGTTGGTTTGAATATAGTGGCTTTTCAATATTTCAGTTTCTTTTATTATTAAATAAATGTTTATTTCAATGCATCTTTGATAATTGTAGTTAAATGGATATTTTTAATAAATAAACCCCACAAATAGTCCCCAATTTTTTCAAGTGTGACTATTATTAAATATTTAATTAATAAGAAAATGATCTATTCATAATATATAGATGGTTGTAGATATTTGAATACATTTCTTATTGATCTCTCTCAAGAGTTTCTTATAACTTTCTTCATCTTTTTCATCTGTTTCTTCTATAAAATTTAACTTTAAAATATTATATATATTTATTTATATTAATATTTTTATAAAAAAGCAAATATATTCTTCAAATAACGGCTAAAATATTTTTTAAGCCCCTATTTCCCATTTTTTCCCGGTGTACTTTTGCGACAACAAGTTGCGTAATAACAACAAAGTGTGAGACATTCTTGGGAACCTTTTCTTTGTTTCTTCTAGACCCCCGTCTTCCCCCACTACCCCCCTCTACACCTTCTCTCTCTTTCTACCATTTTTTTGTGTCTTTTGTTTTTTGTTTTTTTTTCTGAGCTTGTGGTTAGCATTCTAGCGGCACTTTGTCGTAGGCGGCTGAACTGATCGTCACCCTCGAGCAACCAGAAGAAGCCCCGCAACAGAAGACTGAAGAACCCAGACTTGAAGACTGACAGACTGAAGAGTGATTAGTATTTGTTGTTGTTGGCAGTTTTTGGCAAAGAAATTGGCCTTGATCTTGTATTGATATTTTGGCTGGCCGCTTTCACAACGGCTCGTTGGTCTAGGGGTATGATTCTCGCTTCGGGTGCGAGAGGTCCCGGGTTCAACTCCCGGACGAGCCCAAGGATTATATTTTATTTTAATTCATTTATTTATTTATTTATTTTTTATTATAAAGAAATAAAATGCCACCCTTACGGGGAAGTCACTGATAAGTGGCCAGGTGATCTCTATCTTTCGGTTCGCTGAACGGAAACCTGGAGTTGGGTTTTCTCAGGTGACTCGGTGAGTCAGTCAGTGGCTTTATTTACTGTCTTCTCTGTTGAATTCTCCGGAAGAAGAACCAGAGCCCAGAAGAAAGGCGTGCGAACACATAATAACATCAAGGAAGTGACTCAGAAATGCAATTAAAGGAAGTGGGAGGGTTTTGGGAAATGAATTTTAAAAAACAAACACTTCTGTGGGAATCTTTTTTATAAAAAAATAAATATTTTTGATCTTAACTAAATTTTAAATTTTTTTCTTATACTTTCAGGTATGTTTTTAAGAAATCCCGTAAAAAAATCCTATTATTTTTTCTTTCAACCTCAAGGTAAGTCTTAAAACTAAGTTAGATTTAAGTCAAAATATTCGGAGAAGATGCCCGGAGAAGAATGTCAGACTTTGTAGCAACCGGCCCGGACCCGGAGCCGGCCAGCTAGTCAGCCGTAGAGCAGTCACGCCTTTTGGCGCCCCGGGGGCGTACCGGGCACCCATATTCTTTAAAACACAATGAAATTTGGCAAGACTTTCGAGTCGCATTTGACGATCGAATGGCGGCGTCAATATATGCGATATGGGGTAAGATATATCATAGATCTCTTCCTGATTTCCTTCATAAATAAATCCTTAAAAAAAGGATCTCAAGGTGCTTATCAAGAGGGGCGTGGATAGGGCACCTTCGCCCGCCACCACCCCGGAATATGAAATACAGGCCTATTATCAGGCCTTCGAGGAGACCTTCCTCATGGAATGCCAAAACGAACTGACCCGCGTGAACAATTTCTTTCTGGAGAAGCTGTCGGAGGCGCGTCGAAAGCACAATACCTTGAAACTGCAGCTACTGGCCTACTCCCATGTCCCTGGACACACATCCAGCGACTTATCCATCGGTTCCGCGACACGAACGAACACCAACCGAAGACGCTCCACCGCCGAGAAGAAGATGACCCAACGGCAGCTGAGAAGTGCCTACAGTGAGTTCTACCTGAGCCTGATACTCCTCCAGAACTATCAGACCCTGAACGAGACCGGATTCCGCAAGATCTGCAAGAAGTACGACAAGTATCTCCGGTCTACCGCCGGCGCCGAGTGGTTCGATCGAAATGTGGAGTTTGCTCCATTTACGGACGGACGTCTCCTGCAGTGGATCATCGAGGAGGTGGAGGATCTGTATACCATTCACCTGGCAGGCGGAGATCGGTCTGTGGCCATGGCCAAGTTGAGGGTTCCACCGTTGGGAGAGCCGACGCCGTCGTGTTTGGTCTTTCGGGCTGGTTTGGCGTTGGGGATGTTCATCGTGCTGGTGATGGCCACGGCGGTTATATGTAGGTTTCTACGTCGGTAACACCAAGCCTTCCGGCTTAATACCTTATCCCTTAGATTGGAAGAGACCTCCCACTGCCGACAATATACCGGGTTTTATGCGACTCCACCGCGGACCCTTCACCTGGGTGATCTTCAACTTCTTCATGGCCGCCAATGTGGCCGGCTGGCAGCGGGCTGGCGTCAATCATGTTCTGATCTTTGAGATCGATCCGAGAAGCCATCTGCTGCCGGCCACCTTCCTGGAGATCGCCTGCGTTTTCGGCATCTTGTGGGCCCTCTCCATGCTGGGATTTCTGCTGCACGATCTGATATTGGTGCCGGATCCGTACGTCTTCCCGCTGGCCCTCATCCTGACGATGCTGGGCATGCTGGTGGTCCCACTCCCAATCATGAATTGGCCCGCCCGGTGGTGGACGATCAAGTTAGTGGGTCGAGTGGTGTCCGCCCCGTTCTACTATGTGAGCTTTGCCGATTTCTGGATGGGCGATCAGATTATGTCGCTGGCCAACTGCCTGGTGGACTACTACTATATAGTCCGATTCTATGCATTCTGCTGGCTGAGATCCCAACCGATGCTCGACTGCATCAATCCGGATGTGATGGTGCCGATAGCAAAGTGTTTGCCAGCATGGTTCCGGTTCGCCCAGTGCCTGAGACGATTCCGAGACAGTGGATCCAAGTCGGTGAGCTATCTGATCAATGCCGGCAAGTACTCGACCACCTTCCTGGTGGTGCTATTCTCAACGCTACGCAGCCAAACGGACGGTGACACCAAACCCAAACTTGTCCCATAACTGAGGAGCATCCACACTGAGCTCATCCCATTCCGTCCGCAGGTGGGTATGCCAACACCTTCAACAATCCCTTCACCTGGCTCTTCCTCGCCAGCAACGTGGTGGCCTTCATTTACAGTTACCTGTGGGACGTAATGCGGGACTTTGGACTGTTCCAGACCTTTCGCGGTGAGCACATCTTCCTCCGGCCCCAATTGGTGTATCCGGTTCCGGTCTACTATTTCGTCATTGTGGAGGATCTGGTGTTGAGGCTGGTATGGGCCTTTGAGTTTGTGCTTCTCTATAATGACTGGATATCGGCCTATAATATGAAGACTATAACTAGTTTGCTGGAGATAACCAGGTGAGCTTCATGGGGCTTGAAGTCACTACTGTTGGGCTATAGTTCCCGTCCACAGAAGGTTCATTTGGAACTTTGTGCGTCTGGAGAACGAGCACTTGTACAATTGTGGCAAGTTCAGGGCCACTAGGGACATCTATTTGGCAGCCCTGAATCCCCGACAGGAGCGAATGCTGGAGAGCATGATGGATGAGACGGATGGGGTGACCAATAGACGTAACACCAATGACCGAACTCGCCTGGGCAAGGAGTACTTCTAGAGCAGATGCTCTCCAAGCAGATGTCTGGCCTGATCCACCATCGTTGTCGTCATTATCATCACATTTAATTAATTCATTTCGAGCAAAAATACATACAAGTCTTGGGGAGACTGTAGACTGTGTAGGAGCCTGAAGACCGAAAAGCTGCAAGGAGGAGAAAGGGAGCCAGACACGCGCCAAACCGGTTCAACAGCTGCACCCAAAAGCGGCTCAAGCCAGACCCCTCCTTTGGCAGACCCTCCCCTCCTTTGGAACAATTGTCACTGAGATCCTCATCGTTATACCAGATCACGGACCATCTCTTAATTGACTCGCCTTGAAGCTTTCTGATTAGCCTCGCAATTAGCCAGAAGAATCGATAAAGGTGAAGAATCGGAGAGAATCGGAGAGAATTAACAATTCAAGAATTTAAGAATCCGGACAGGAATCTGGGTAAAAGGCTTTCTTTATAATTTTTCTTTTTTTTTCTTTGCAAATTTTCTATGAAAATCTTGAGACTTTCTTTGGGTTTTTTTTTTGGTCATTACAAGATTTTCTCAGTGTAGCTATCCACTATATATGTTTTGGTATATTATTTATAGACTACATATATACAAAAATTATTGTAAATGTAATTAAAAATTTATTGTTTGTGAGTTAAAAATAAAAAGGGAGATTTTCTATAAAAAGGGGTTTCTATCCAGAGGGACTTTCAGAGGGTTTAGCTTACCTAACTCTTAATAGGATTTATTCTATTAACTTCTCTGCTTAAAGAACCATCCTTAAAATCCTTGGAATATTTTTAATCTTCTTAAAATAAAAAGTCAAGAAACATAAAAGCCAAAAAACAGAAGCCTTTTCAGAATTAAGGATAAAACTCTTAAGCCTTTTGTTGAAAAACCTTTTCAGTTCTTTTTTGGTAATAAATCTCAGAAGCCAGACAATCGGATTAGCCAAGAAGAACAAAAAAAAGGATGAGTCTTTAAAGAATTCAAGACTCTGATCTTTTGATTTTGTGATTTTCTTTATTTTTAGATTCTTTATTTTGTAATTTGATCAGCAATCACATTCCGGTATGTGAATTGCTGATGTATTCCTGACGATGACGAGGCCTAAATGGCTAATGAGGGTCAAGAGAGATGGCAGAGGAGCGGGGGCTAGCTGGCTGGACAACTTATCTTTCACTCTTGGCCGAGTCTGAGGCCAGATCTTGGCCAGGCACGAGTCAAACATAAATTAGCGATTGACGACGCCACTCGACTTGCAACACATTGCAACTTATGTTGCCTTCTCCAGAGAGAAGTCTCCAGAGAAAGGGAGTACAGTCCGAGCTATTATTAATTGTTGCCACGATTGAGTGCAAGTTGCAATGTTGCAACGTTTGCTGTGGCCTGCTGCATGTAGCCTGCTGCCTGTTGCTGATCTTGTGGTACAGTTGCACACGCGCCAAAACCAGACCAAAATAAATAAACAAACAAATCAAGAAAAAAACAAACCAACCAGGGAAAGGCAACAAAAACAGAAAAAAAAACAAACAAACAGGCCAACAAATCCTAACCATGGCCAAAACTCACCAAACAAGGCCCAAATGTAGAGGGGCTTGAAGCCAAGTTTCTTGAAAAACTAGAGAGGGATTTTCCAGCAGAAAATTATGATGTTTTATTGGTTCTATAATTTTGGTTTTTTTTTAGGGAGTTTATTAAACTTAAAAGATTAATTATTGATTTAAATTAATAAGGATTTAATATTTAAAACAAAGATTTCATTTAAGAACCGAAACTCATGAGTTTTTCCTTCTTGTGTACTTTTCGTTTGTGGCTCGAAAAACTTGGCTCTTGGGTCTCTCTTGGCTAGATGGCCAATGTCCATCTTGGGCTTGTACTTAGATGGCTTATTGCAGTTGCCTTTTGGCTTGGAAAATGGCGCGCAAACGGCCAAACAAACAAGCTGGCTGTCGTACAAAGTCCAAAACAAAACAAAAAAGGAAAAAATAAGAAAAAAACTTGGCTTAAACCCTTTATGCCAGCTGAGCTTGGGTTTGGGCCAACTCGTGCTAAATTTAACCAAAGGACCAGGACAAGGGCCAAGAAGCTTCGCCAAGACATGAGACTTGGTGGGGAAAAACCAGTTTGGCCAGCTTTTGGCTCCTTTTCCTGGTTGTTTTTTTTTATGCTGCCCCCTCTCCTTCCCTCTCTCACCATCCTTTGTCTTTTTATGGTGCAGCACGCGTCTATATAAAATATATCCCCCTACTCCCTCAACACTCCTTGCCCCGCTGGGATTTGGTTGACGCAGCTCATAAATTTATGTGGCAGGCTTTTGATTGCCTTTATGCTGCCGTTTTCTTTTTACCTCTTCTGCCACTGCCAGTACCCCCCTCTACTTCACCTCTGTTTTGGCCAAGTCCCGTCTCTTTGTGGCTCGTTAATTTGTGCACATAAATTGGCTTTCAGCCAAGTTCTAAGCCAAGTCCCCCAAGTTCCTGCTCAGCTCCAGCTCCAGTCGATCAGGTTCGATATCTTTCGCGACTTTTGGCAGCCAGCTGCCTTTTTTTTAAAGCCAGGTTTTCAATTTCAGCTGCTAAATGTTTTTCCTTTTTTTGTTTTTATAAATTAAGCAGAAGCAGCTGTTTATTTTTTTATGCCAAGTTTTTAAAGGATAATTTTGTTTAAGGCTTTTAGCAGGTTAAGGCAGATAATGAGTCTTAGAGGTTATAGATTTTGGGTTATATGGTAGAGAAGTTCTTTTAAAGGTTTTTAATTTTGTTTTTTATTAAATATGAAAGCTTAAAAATAAACCTTAAACTCAAATTTAATTTAAAATCACCATTAAAACTAAAATTTCCCATTCACTTTAATGTTTCACGAAACTCAAGTAAGAATTTAATTGGCTTTTGGCTCTGGCCGAACCCACCAGCCCCTGTGGGTGGTTTATGATTAGGGTGTGATTATCTGGGTATACGATAGCCCCTCTCTTAGCCCATAGAGCCCATAACCCCGGGCCTAATTTCAGAGCCCGCGAACTCCACCTGCCGCAGTAGCCGCTAAGCAGGCGTATCAAAGGCAATTTTGCAACCAACTTTTTAATGTAGATCAAGTTGCAAGTTTTTTGGGGCACAAACTACAGAGACTTGGGGGGGAGACTGGGGACTGGAGGCGACCTTCCAATGACTTTCCACGCCCACTCTGGCGGAGGCTGAGTAACAGCGTGGAAAATGGCAAATTATGGCGGGAAAAAAATAATCAGCAGCTGCACTCGCGGCAGAAACAAATGAATTTCAATTTAATTAGCCAAACTAGAAAATCTACAGGTGTAGTTTTTGTGCCAACTGACTGATTGAATAACTGACTGACTGACAATCCAACAAACAAAAATGAATAGAATGCCAGTGTAATTGCCACAATTTGTTGACTTTTTGTGGCACGACAAGTTGCATAGAAGTATTATGATAATTTTTAAGAGGTTTTTGGGTTGAAGAATTGGCCCAAGCTTGAGATAAAGTTTGTGTTTTAATAAAATTAGACTAAGATTTGTCTAACAAATTTTTAAAAAAAATTTAAGCTTTGAAACCTTTATAATTTTCTTAGCTTTATTTTTCTCTCTCTGTTTTTTATATCAAAAGGCTTTAGGGTCTAAAATCCCTAAGCCGCTTTTGGCCATTTCAAGTCTTTTGTTTAATGATAAGCTCTCTTTTTTTTTTTTTTTTTAAAGTGAAGCCTGGCTTGGCTTGGCTTTGATTTTTTTCGTGGCTTTTGGCGCGCTTTATTCCAGACTTGCCCCAAGTGCCACATAAACCAGCTTTTCGATCTCATCTTCTTCTTCACCTTCTGGCCAAAAAAAAACAAACAAAAACAACAACAACAAAATCCGCGCAAATGCAGCTAATGGGCCATGAAAACAACAAAAACAACAACAAAAAATTGAGGCAAAAAAAAAACCTTAAAAACAAAAATCAAGAGAAGATACGTTGAAGAAGCAACTGCAGCCTCCAGGGTTTGCAACATCACGAGAATCATAAAAAAAACAACAACAACAAAAGCCACAAAATCGAGAAAAAAATATCTTAAGAACCCGAAAGCAACATTGAAAACAAAAACAACTTTATCGGCCCTCTCTACCCCTCTCCCCCCCCCTATCACTTTTGGCCAACCTCAATAACCATAACTCTTTCTTGTTGTTGTTCTTGATACTAGTTTTCCGATTTTCCAACTTTGATTTTGGGGATTTTGGAACAACAACAACAAAAACAACATCATCATCATCGTCTTTGAAAACTCGTTAGGTTTTTACTGAAACGTGTTTTTTTCCTTTGCTTTTGTACCTTTTTTTTTCTCATTTACGTATATGGTTTCGTATGTTTTTTATGTTTCTTTAGAGAGAGAGAGATCTTTACAGACGCCATTTTGTTTGTAAGCCAGACTTCAGTGTTGGGAGATTTCTGGTTTTCGGTATAAGACTGTCTTGGTCTTGGCTAAAAGTTAAGTTGCCGGGGGAATTTTGTCTCAGAGAGAAAGGTACTTCATTTCGACTTTAACTTTGGCTAACTTGGCTAAGAGAGCTTGAGAATATTTCCCTCGGTCTGGAGGTCTTTTTTCTCTACTTTTTGAGGTTAAAGTTATAAGCCAAGATTCGAACTTAAAGCCAAGACATTCGAAGTCAGAAAACGCATTCGAACTGAGACTTTGGGAATTATTTTAAAGTCTGGGGTTAAAGGAATATAAGGCTTTAAAAGTCGAAACAGACTAAAGAAGACTATGATAATTATGGCTTATTTTTAAAAGTCTTGGAATAGTAAAAAGAAAACATATACAACCATAAAACATATACCTGAAAACCGATTCTTTGCAAAAGAGTGACATACATTTACAGTCTATATAATATTACCAAATATTTTAAAAACTTCTTTGAAATAAAAGTATTTTTAATCTTTTTCTAACAATTTCTACTAAAAACTTGTCTTAAAAATCCAAACTCAACAAGACCAAGTTTAGTGGCTTAGCTTAGTCTCTTGCCAATTTTCACAAAAAACCCAAAAGTATGCTATAAAATCTAGAAATACCCAAGCCGTCTTTATAAAAGTCCCTCTTCCAAGCAAGGGAAATTCTCTACTGAGCCGGAGTTTCAAGTTTCGAATTAGAGTCTGTGGCCAGGGGAAATTGTGGCTGCCTCGTGGGCCTCTCGATTAGTAGTATTCCCGCTCTTCACAAAGCCAGACGTTTTGCTGCTGCTGTCAGCGTCGCCGTTGCCGTCGCAGTCGCAGTCGTCGTTGCTGCTTTTATTTTTTTTTTTCTGTTTTTGTTGAAAGAAAAAAAAAGAAACAATAAAATAAATACCATATTTTTTTAAACACAAAAAACCTTCAAAAAATTACCCAAAAAGTGATTTAAAGAAATCAGAATAAGAAATACTTTAAGAGCCAAAAAGAGCCCAGCAAAGAAGCTCTTCATTATGTGTGTGAGTGTTTGGTTGTGTGTGTTGGCGTGACATTAGAGCCATAATAACTACAACAACAACAATTATTAAAGAAAAAAAACAAAAACCTCCAAGCTTGAGGAAAAACTAAAAACCTGCGAGAACGCAAACAGGTGCGAAAAATACACCTTTTTCTTGAAGAAGTTGCACAAGAACTTAGTGGCTGAAGGGTTGCGGCAACTTCCCTTTTTGGGCTTCTTCTTTTTCTTCCACGTCTTCTTCTTCTCGTGTGCGGAAGTTGCAGAAAACTGACATAAAAAACAACAACAAAAAAACAAACAAACAACAACCATGTGCTAAGCCCAAAAAAAAAATTAAGGAAAACGTAAACAAAAATTTTTTTTTTGGTTTTCAATATGGATACGGTGGCTATAAAAACAGTGGCACTGCCACATGCCCCACTAGCCCAGCAGCAACAACAACAACAACAGCAGCAGCAACAGCAACAAAAATTACAACAAACAAATGCAACCATCAATGCCAAAAACAATATTGGGGCATTTTTTCAGACTTGCAAGGTAAGAAGTTTTCACCAAAACTACACTTGAAAAAAATTCTTAGAGCATTTTTAATTTAAAAAAGACACTGCAGAAAAACTCTAGATATTAAAGGTCACCAGAGTTCAAGCAGAACTTGAAAAAAAAACACCGAAACTAACTTATGATAATAAAAAGTATTTTTCTGAATCTCATTTCGACCCACAAATGAATTGTCAACAAAAAACAAACACAAAAAAAATGTATCTATAAAGTGCCCGGAAAAGAGAACCTTTCCGAGTTACTGGGAAAAGTAAGAAATTAAAACGCCAACTGCAGTTGACAAAAAAGCCACAAAAGCGAAGCAATTTTGTAGGCGCACTTTTAATTGGTGTCTCCGAGGGAAGACCGGCTGAAGCCAGAAACCAAACAAAAAAAAAAGAAATAAAATACTTGGTCAAGTGGCGTGCAACGGGGCATGCAATAAAAAAAATAAAATCAACCAAAATTGGAGGGGGAGAAAGGTTCTATAAGTTACACCAAAAAAAAGTTCTATATTGTAGAACTTTTGGGAGAAAATATTAATAGAGTTTAGAAAAGAACAGAGCATCTGGGTTTAAGAAAGATATATGTATTAGGAAGGTTTGATTTGAAAAGATTTAAGATAATAATATTAGATATAGTATTCTAAACCTATATAGTATTAGGGAGTTCTAAGGCTCTTAAGTCTTAGGAAAAGTCTAATTATAGCTATAATAGCAAGAATCTCTGTTTCATTTTGATATAGTTTCTGGAATTTAGTTGGTATAAGCTTTCCCGCCTTTTATATCATCTTATATAAGAAACTATCTTTATAGTTCCAATGGTTGGAGGTTCCTAGAAATTCCTCATAGAATTTATAACTCATAGAAACCATCTAGAAGTCTAAACTTATAGAATATTTCACAAATAACCACAAACCTCTCCAAGAAATTAACAAAAATCACCCTAAAACTTTTCCCTAAAACTTAATTTAAAAGAAAGTTTATAAAGATACAATTTTGTTTTTAAAGATAAAAACCCAAGATGATGAAAACCCCTGATGATCATGCGCTATAAATGATCTTACTAATTGATTTGATCAAACTGGCAATTATCGTAGAAATAAAGCCAATCAAGATATATAGTAAAAGCCCCCATCACAAGGCAAAAACGTTGCCAAATAATCAGATTATGTCAAGTGCAAAATGTATGAACTAGTTTTCTTTAATTTTTTTGATCATATAACCACCAAAAAAGACTAAAAAAGAAGACACCACTTAACAACCTAAAAAAGCCGCCCAAAAAAACGAAAGAAAAGTGTGACATTTAAAAGTTAGTTACATAATGTTTCTTTTTAACCATAACTATGACAGTTAGTACAATACAATAAAAAAAATGATAATAATAAAAACAGTACTGTCACTGCGACAAGTGCGAGGGTTGATCGATGCCTTGCCACATACATACATACAATCCCTAAAAGAAAAATCCCTAAAACCCTAAATCACTCAGCGGGTTGCAACACTTGAACCGGAACCCACACAAAAGACCCGAACAAAAATAAAAGGAAAAGGAATCTAAGATCTGTATCCTGAGATGAGATTCCTTTTGTTTTGGACATGCTTGTATATAGAATCGTGATCTATACAAAATTTAGATCTACCTGACTGCCTTTAGGGCCTTTTTTTTTGTCTCCTTCTACCTGTCATGGTCTATCCTTATCCTGGGAAATATCTAAATGCTTGTGCAACTGTTGCAAGTTGCCCTCATGTCTCCCTCTCTGGCCCTTTATGTTGTCACAAGTCTCGTTAAACATTTCGCTTTAATTTAATTGAATTTCCTCCAACGTGCTCTTGTCGGTTTTTTTGTTTTTACTCTGTTTTTTTTTTTCTGTTTAACTTAATTATGTCAGTCAGCGCGTTGCAAGCATTAACCCTAACGTGCCGCAATTGTTTTCCGCTCGAGTAAGAGACTCACACGGCTCTGGGCGGGGGAGGGTTAATCAGGGGGTTGTGTGGGTGTATGTCGTTTTATTTTTTAGGTTTTTTTTTGTTAATCAAAGCGCGGAAATAAACGGATAATCCCAAGTCCACAGATGAGATGGAAGAAACTATACATTTTAGGTAATTCATTTTAAAGGTTTTAAGGCTCTCTAGAAACTAAAAATCAAATACTTAAAAATTATATATAAAATTCGTATACATTTCATAAAATATTTGCTTATTTCTAATCTTAAATATATATTTTCAAACCACCTCTTATATGTTTTTAAATAAAGGCAAGCCTTTGTATTCGTTTCTTCAAAGAAACATTGAGAGTAAAGGCTATTCAATAAGTTGAAGGGTTAGGCCCAGAAATATATTATATCCTTAGCTTGGCTATTTTTTTTTATTAAATTTTAATACTTCACCCAAAAATAAAACCACCTGCTTTTCTCACCGTGCATCTCTATAAATATTTCCCATTGTATTTACAAAGAAATTCCAACAAACATCAAACTTGTATGCTAATCAATTCGAATGAGGCTGCGATTGATCCAGCCACCATATTATGAGGGAGGGGGCTAGAGGTGGGGAGAAGGGGGGGATCTATAGACCTTAACAACAACAGCATACAACAAATATGCGCAGCTGCGATCGAACGACAACGAACTGAAAAAAAATCTGAAAAATCTTCAATGTTGCCAACCGAAAAGCTAAAAAGCTAAAAAAAAGCCACAGCAACAGGTTGAGCATAAATTATGATCAAAAGTTAAAATTATTTTTATTTTCAATTTTATGTGAAGCCGCCAGTGCTGTCGCTTCTTTTTCTTCATTTGTGGCCGACTTATCGAAAATTGTTGTTGTTATTTTCAAGGGAAATTTTTTTTTTGGGCATATCGCTTGTGTTTGTTGTGTTTTTTTGGTTGGTTTCGTTTGTTAAACTTTCACAATACAATGTTGAGTTGTGTTGTGTTGTATGTGTGTTTGTTGGTCAGCAGCAACGTGCCACACGGTGGCCAAAATCAAAGACACACAAAAAAAAAGAGAAAAACGGTACAGAGGCTGAAAAACACAAGACTTTTCCCTAACAGTTTGTCGCCTAAGTCTTTCGTTTTTTTGCGCGACAGTTCTGTTTTTTTTTTCTTCTTCTTTTCTTCTTCCTCTTTTTTCCACGTCTGGCTGGCCCACTAAGCTGATTATGTAACCGAAATGTCAGTTTGGCAAAAGGCTTTTTAGCCAAGTCATGGAATTGCCACAAAATAGACGGCCAAGATGCGGGAGCGATAATAAAACAGGCAATAGAAAAAAAATGAAGATGGCTTTTTTATGTTTTTAGATAGCTTTGGAGAAGAAACAAAATCTTACTGACCTTTGTGACCTGTATATTTTAGGCCTGGTTTTCTATTTTTAGACGCTAAAGCTTTAAATTCAATAATATTACTCTTAAAAAAACTATCCTCTTTTAAAACTAAAAAATAACTCAACCAGAACCTCTCCTAAAGAATTAAATTAATTAAACTTGATATTTTTATCAATTATTCGGTAATAGATACGTATATCTTGCCTGGACACCCACAAAGTCCATTAATTACAACCCCAACTCCGCAACTTCCGTTGTGAAAAAAAACACGTGGGCTGCTCCACTCAACCACTGAACCACCCACTTGTCCACTTTATACATCCTATAGTTGGATATACTATATACATATATCTATTATTTTTTTATTTGTTCCCTTAATTAATTGGCTTACTTTTTGGTCAAGCCATGATGTGGGCGTTCGTTTACAAAACTTAAATAAATAAAATTACCAAAAATAAAGTAGGCGGAATGGGCGTGGGCTTGTCACAGTAGCACGTGCTAAGCGGCATTTATTAGAAGAGAGATGGGTATAGGTAAATAGAAAGAGAGGGCAAAGGAAGAGGCGACACTAATGACTTCCTATTTCGGTGAACTTGTCAATTGGACATCGATCGAGGGGGATTAATTAGCTTGTAAATGCCCAAAAAGACAGGAAATTATTCCGGTGTCTCTAATTTTTTTCCTCTTTTTAGTTTTTTACTTATTTTAGACTTTTTTTTTGCAGTGGAGAAGGAAAGGTTCGTTATTTTCACACTTTTTTTTAAGCAGTTTAGCTTTAGATTTTCATTTTATCACGTTTCTTTTTTTGTGGTTTAACGGGAAGGCGTGAAAATAGACTTTTAAAAGGGTTTTTGATATTTAAAAGTATATGTTTTGAAGTATTTTCTATATATTTTTTATTTAGGCTTTATAAAGGCTTGTCTTTAGGGGAACTCGGTCTTACCTTTCTAGACAATCCAGCAGAGACTTGTGAGGTTTTTAAAAGTCAGTATTAAAATATAGTTTTTAAAATATATATATTTAAACCTTTATTAAGGCATAGTTATTATGAAGTTTCTTTTTCTTAAAAATACTTAAAAATCCCTTCAAAAAAACCAAGTATATTTCGTATATATTGTATCTACCTCTTACCTTTATAAATTGCCTTTTGAAAAGCCATTGTCTCTATCACTTTTTTTGGCTTGACCAACAACTGGACATTGTGGCCGCGACTGGACACTACTGGGTGCCTGGTTTTTCGGTTTTCTAACAGCTTGCCAACCGGTTTTTTTGGGCCTGCTCACTGGAATTGCTCCAAATTTAATAGTAAACTGAGTAAACTCTATTTTTTTTTTGGCATTAGATGGGTGAAGGGATTGCTCTCGCTACACAGGGCTTTCACCTTCTCATCCCCCCCCTTTGTCAGTTAATTATAGATTTTGGGGGTTTGGTTAATTGATAGATCGAAAGGGGGATCGAGCATCATGAATCATGAACTCTGACTCTGAGGAAAAGGCCGCCAAAAAAAATATTGGTGGCTTGGAGTGGCCTGAAGAGAGAAACTCCGACTGGCTGGGTGGCTCGCCAGACGAGTTTCTGGGCAACCTCGCTATCGAGACTCTAGACTCGAGACTTTTGGGCAAGAAGTTGAGGCATATTTTGGCCAAAAGCAACAGCAACTTTTGCAGTTTTGTGGCCGAGTACGAAAAATGATGGAAACTGGTTTTCATGGCTTTTGTGGCGCGACTTGAAGACTCTCTTGAGTCTTTGTCTCGAGCTTGGTATCGGGGTACTGGAAGCTTGAGATCTTGCCAAGATGGCGTCGTCTTAACCGGTTTGCGACTCTCTTTTGTTATACACACCGCACAGATTTTTTCGAGACACAGGGGCTTGTATTGCCCCTTCTTCTATGGCCCCCAACACTCTACTAACTCGACTCTCTCTCTTCTTGTTTCTCTTTTTTTTAGGTCTTATGGCACCTGGACGCCTTTAGACGCTCATTCCGTGGCCTCAACCAGCACGTATGTGGCGGCCAAGACTGTATCTTTTGCGCTCTAAAGGTAAGTCTTCGAAATTCGAACTTAGCCGAGGCACTCACCAGCTCGCAGTAATGTGGTGGGTGTCTAAGATGAATAGGGATAAGGTTTTTAGAAGATCGTATAAAATAATATTTTAACATAGTTTATAGATGTATTTCTTAATGGTTTCGTTATTAAAAGCATAAGATAAAGTCTTAATTTTATTAAAGATTTATCAGTTGAGGTATTTAAGCCTATTTGGATCACTTAAAAAGCAAAAAACTATGCATAAAAGGTGGTCTGTATCATATTTTAGCAAAATAGTTTAAAAAATAATTTTGAAAATTATTTTTAAATACTTTAGAGTATAAAACAAACTATTAAGAGTGTGTATTTTTCATCTAATGATATTTTATATATTTTATACATAAAATATCTACTCTATTGCCTTTTAAATATATGTATTAGGCTTCTATTAAGTCAAGCTAAGAATAAATATGATATATGATATTATAACTTTATTATAATTTTAATAAAACCCTAATATATATTTTCTTAGAAATTTCAGCTTATTTAAAAACTAAAAACTTGTAGAAGAAAACTTTTACCCCGCAAAAATCTATAGCATACTTTTTGGCTATCAAAGTTGGCAACAGAACCCCACTCAGCCGTAAAACCCACTCACTGATTCATTTATAATGCCATTTCCCTTAATAAAACACCTTTCATTTTGCTGGCCCGGCCCGGCACGGCCTGGCCAAAAACAAGGTCTAAAAATAAAGCAATTAAATCCGAGGGGCCTCACATTTTCCCAGACTCCTGTCTGGAAGGCTTTCCCGGGTTTTTTCTATTTCGTTCGTTTCTTTTTTCTTTCCAGTCTCATTTAATTGCCAGTCGTCAGTCAAAGTGAAAAACCTGATGTCTTGTCTTTTCTGGCAAATCACCATTTATTCACACGCAGCTGCTCAAGTGCCTGGTTTTCTTCTGCCCAGTTTTTCCCAGTTCTATGGCCTGTGTTTTCCCATTTTCATTTCAACAGGCGCTCAACGAATTTCCCACCAAAAACCCAACAGATCCTGGCAATGCAACAAATGGCTATGGACACTCTACCTGGCTCACAGGTTCACACCCCCTCCACCGTAGAGATCCTGGGGGTGGGTTTCAGATCCTGGCCAGGATAAGTCCATTGGCCACTGGTCACGCCTGCTTATAAGGACCCCTCCATGCCATGTCCTTTTTTTTTGTATAATTTTTTGACTGGCGTGACTACCTTTCAACACTCAACGCTCTTGCCTCGATTAATTGAGGCTCATTTGTCCTGTTCTCACCTCGTTAAAGTTTACACAATTATGCAAATCCTGCAGGGAGTCAATAAACTTTACATTAAGGATATGATATAGGAGGTTATGGAGGGGATAATTAGGTTAATAAACGGGGTTGGGTTTGTCTGGCAGGGTGAGGAGGTTTTCATTGGGTTTTGAATCATATTTTATAGGTGGTGATGAAAGGGTATAATTAGTAGTATTTATGATTTATTAAAGCTTTTAAAAACAAGCAGAAAAATAAATGATTTTTAGGAGAAAAATATATGAAAAGAGTCCTTCCTTTTGAAACTCTTTTACAAGTTTTAACTTAATATATTTTGGCCTTAAAAGAGTCCATTAAAAACAGATATAAAAATTTATTAGAAACTTTTATTTGTTTTCCCAACTCTTCCTTAAAATGTCCTTAACTCTTCAGTCTTAAATATATATTTCCCAAAAACCCTTTAGGTCAAAAATCTTAGAACCAGAACCGGCAAACGATCATCTAACAACATCAACATCATCATCATCATTATTATTATTTTTATTATCCCGCGCAGAAGAGACTCTATAACCTACACTAACAAAAGCCAGTCAGAACTCATCCTCCTTTTGGCCATGTTGCCCGAGACCCCAGACCCCAACCCCAACCCCAACTTGCAACTCCAGTTCCACTCTTGCATCGTGCTAGCCCGTAGGCGAGCGACAAACTCGTGACGTTTGGGAAAACTCTTTGGAACAACAAAAGGCTGAGTAGTACAACAAATGCCGGGACTGTACTTCTTTGAGCGGGCCAAGACTTCAACCACAGGGTGTACCAGGTACTATACCCCTCTCTTTCTCTATCTCTCCCTTTCTATCTCTTTCTGGTTCTCTTCAAACATTGATGACGTCTTTGACCGAAGTGGAAAGTGTTGTTGGTGGCTTCTTTCTTAGGGTTTTTTGGTTTTTTGTTTTTGTTTTGACTTGGCCCGTCCCGGCTCTTAACCCCCCATAGCTGCTCCCTTTCTTAACCCTCCTGTTTCTTTTTTTTTTTGCATTAATTATTGTAGAGTTTCTGCGCTCTGAGTAAATTAATTTTCCCAACCTTTTCCCGCGGGAAGACGCTATTTAATTATGAAAATCGTCGTCGTCGTCGTCTTTGGGGGGAAAGAAGACATTGGCCCCTTTTGTTTGGGAAACTCCCACGATTGCGATCGCAACTCTGACCATTTGAGGGTTAAAACCCAACTATATATATACATATAGGGGAAAATAAAAAAGAGTTCTTGATGAAAAATCGTCTCGACAGTCCATGTCTCGTAATGCCTGAATGCACAATTCCCATTAGAGGGGTTTACTGGCCTCTGGCCTCTGGCCGTGCCAGACTTTTGACGGGAATCACTTATTTCTGCCACTCTGCCAAAAATAAAATCATTAAGAACGATTTTAGACACATTTATTGTACATCAGGTACAAGGACAAACTCATTTTGAAAGGATCAGTACACAATAGTGTTGTATTTTCTTCCAGGAAACAAGAAATCTTTAAAATGTCTAGACCGCAGACTCGTTCAAGATGATGATGATGAAGATGAGTGGGTGAGGTGAGGAGTGGGTGAGGATATATATTCTTAAAATATTTCTTACAACTCCTAGTTCTTAATGTCTAGACTTTTAGACACTCTTTGGTTTTATTTAAAAACCCTCTTCTTATCATTACCCCAAACCCTAAGCTCTATTTACTTTTCAAATAGGGATACTCCAGATTCTCCAGGTTTCGCTTAATCTCCAAAAAAAATCTCATCTAAGTAAAGTCAAACAAGAAAAACTTTTCGAGTGCAGCCTTTTTGGGTTTTTTGTTTGTCAAGCGGGATCATAAAAAAAAACGAAATTACCATGAACAAAGATAGTGAAGAATGGATAGCAAGAAGAGCCCTATATCTTCTTTCTTTTTTGTCGTGGGTTGGGTCTTTGGATTCATGGTTGATTGCTGGGCACGAGCGTTGAAGATCAGGTGCTAATAAAAAGGCATACAGCCTCCCTTGAAAGCTTCGACATCTTCATTATGAATCACACTTCTGGGCCAAGTTAACAAAAAAAAAAAATCAAAAACCCCAACCAACTGTTGAGCTTTATTTCCACTTTATTGTCTCTTTTTTTTAAATTTTATTTCTTCAATTTATTCGCAAGACGTGCGTTGTGAAGGTTTTTTTCATGTTTCTGTGGGTTTGTTTTTTGTTTAAGAAATGCAGCCATCAATTATTGACTAGTTTGTAGAGTTTTTCATAAAAAATTATTTAGCATTTTAACAGAAGAAAGAAAGAAAGAAAGGAAGAATCTAAAGGTTATTCATCCATCAATTCCTTTTGTTTTTGGTTATACAATTTCTGTTTTTTAAAAAAGAATAGAAAAAGTAACGTTTCTAGTTGATTGATTGGTTCTTTAAGAAAGATATCTTAGGATAGTATTTCCTTAATTTTTTAAATATTTATTTTTTCAATGTAATAGAGCTCCATGTGTCCATCGTCTTTTATTTCCCCATCTGCAACATGACTCACTTTCTTGGACTCAGCTTTCAATTCAACTTCATTTTTCAGTTGTTGTCAGTTTTGAGTCATGTAACTGGTGGCGGGTGGACCAAAAATTGTTCAACAAACAAACAAAAAAAAAAAACAATAAACCTTCAAAAAAAAAAAGGGTACAGCATCTTCCTTTAAGCCAACTCTGTTGACACAAAAACGTGGCTCGCTTTTCTACAAAAATTTTTAATTTTCTTCACTTCAGATTATCCAAAAAAAAATCAAAAAGGTCATCTGATTTCGTTTTTAGGCTATCGTATCGATTCAATCAATTTATTAAGGTTTTCATTGGAATTGTGGGATTTATTTTATAGGGTTTTCGGTTTTTTGGGTTTCTTGCGCATGCGTGCCCGTGCTCTCAAGTCGCACGCGTTTCGCTGGCGTTTCCGGAGCGACACTGACTCATGAAACTATCTAGATTTGTGCAATCTGGAGTGATTTCTTGGATGGGGATACCATGCCCTCAGACTCTAAACGGGTTTAGGTTCTGGACTGTAGCTATTATATAATACGAGATGATTTGGTGATTTTTTTCGAAAGCAAACAATAAGAGTGGAGTGTTCTTTTGGGGAGAAGAATAGATAATGATCTGAGTTTTGGATGGATTTTGTTAAAGAAACTATGAGTTTTAGAAAAAAAAAATATAGAGGAGATCTTTTAAAAGAAAAGACAAGCTATTTTGGAGGAAGAACCTTAAGTGAAAGTGTTTTTTTATGATTTTTTTTACTTTTTTGAAGAAACTAATCTTAAAAAAGCATTTAAAAAAGTTGGAATAATGTCTAAAAATGGCAAAAACCTTTATGAAAATTATTCTAGTCCTAGTACCTCTAAGATTTGTCATTTGAGGCCCACAGGGAAGACAGGACACAGGGTGCCTGGAGTTGAAAATCTCAAGAAGAATCGAGAGTTTGAGAATCTTGAGAGAGCAAACAAAGGAGACAGTGAGAGAGCCATGTTTTTTTTTTGTTACCTGCTCGGAAGACATTTACCTGTTTAACCTACTACAAGACAAACTCCCCCGTTTTTGGAATTGGTTGGCTCGGATTCGTTTCGGCTTGGGTTCGACATCGACATCGGGTTCGGGTTTTTCAATATCTTTTTTTTTTCGTTTCGTTTCTTTTCTTTGGGTTTGCTCAGGTGAGTTGGTTGCCCAGGTGAGTTTGTTGGTGGCTTTTGTTGTTTTGTTGTTGATATAACTGAAGTTCTTGTTTCCCCTCGGAAAACCAGTTTTCTCTCATGAGGGCTCTCTCTCTACCTCTCTCTTTCTACCTTTTTATGGCCATCTCTTTCAAAAGGGGCTTCTCAGTTTGGTTTCTCGGGCCAAAAACGAGTTTCAGTTGCGAGACATATTTCTGAAAGCGCGGACGTGTTTTTTCGTAGACTCGGCTCTTTGTCCAAAAAAAAAAAAGAATCTTAATCTTCAGAAGAGAATCTCAGAAGAATCAAACAAACAAAAAAAAAAATTGCGCGCGCGGCAAAGTTGGTTTTGAAAAAAAAAACGATTTATTTTTTTCTAGTGTCGTTTTTTAAAAAAAGAAACAAGTTTAAACAAAAATTAAAAAACAAATAACAAAGTTTAAGTGATTTACTCAACCTTTTTGGATTTATTTGGAAGTTAAATATTATACAACAAATATTTAACTAAAATGTTTAAGTAAGTTTTGAAAAAGAGATTAAAAAATGTCCAAGAAGCACTCAAGTTTTGGTTGGAAGAGGATTTAAAAAGAAGTCGTTTTTTAAAAGTTTATTATTTAAATGAAGTCGTTTACCAGTTTTTTGTTATTAATTCTTTTTTTCACCATGTGGGTCCCCCAACTAGTTTTTTTTTTGGCGGCTTTGGCTTACCCCCCTCCCCCCTTCTGGTATATCTCTTTTTTTGGCCTTTTGTTGAAGACGGTTTGTTGTTGTTGTTGGTATGTAAATGTTGCCTGTTAGCCCGCAGCCTTCGTGAAAAACCTGCTACACTGCAAACGAACAGGTACTGATGACTCTCCGGTACAGTGATGCCTCGCCTAATGCATTATTTTAAGATTAATCTAAACAGAACACGCAGGCTCTCCGGCTTTCCCTCGGGAAAACTCTTACCAATCACGCGATCTTTTTGGCTTTTAACTTTACATTGTAGGGAGGTGTGGGAGGGTTTTGGTTATACATTGAATTTTCAATTTACTTATGGGCTTTTAAGAAATATAATTAAAATTCATGACAAGTTCTTGAATAATATGTCACCATCAACCAGGAGGCTCTTTTGGCCTTTTCTTTTGGTTGCATATTAATGGGCCCAAAGTCTTGTATATTTATGGCCAATTCTGAAAGCCAAGAAGCAAGTGTGACTGGCATATATGTACATATTTTTTGTTAAAAGTCCAATCACGTGCAACAATCATGTATCTATGTTGCAGGTTGGCCAGTTGGCAGGTTGATGCATAAATTTCTTAGAACTTTTAGGGTAATATCTTAAATATCCTGCTAGCTAGCTGCTAGCTGACTTTTATCAGCCATCTTAAGAGTCTTTTGTTGTTGCAAGTCTACGTTGCACGTTGCACGTGCAATTTCCCAAGATTTTTACCTGAGAAAAGGTCAGTTCTTTTGTTTGGCATGTAATTGCGGAAGCGGCAGTCGCATTTAAGCCATAAAGTGTCTGCTGTGTTTTTAATGCCAACCGTTTAGGCCCCCGCTTCTGGCTTAACAATTAAATCCCATAAATCATCAACAACCAACAAAAAAAAAATGAAATAATAATAAAAACAAGAAACAGAACAACAGCCACTGGTAATAATAATAATATGAAAAGATTATAATAGCTGCAGGCCAGATTGTTGGCCAACTTGTTTTGCATTCAAAAACTCTCTCACTGTATATCCATCTGTATCTGTAGCTTAAAAGTATCTCTCGGATACATTCGAGTATCGTGGCATATCGGTGTCTATCGTGTGAGTGGCTTTGAGGTGTGCAAGATCTATAAATAGTGGCGGTTTTCAAGGACTGCCACTTCCAAGTGTCGCAGACTCACAAATCAGACTTAAAAAAAAAATTATAAAAACATAAACTGTGCCACCACTCTGTGAGGAGTTTCTCTAAAAAGATTTCAAATCTGGATTTATGCAAATTTTATCTTAACAGATTTCTCTGTTTGTTGATTTCTTAATAAATTTTAATTTAAAGAGGAATAAATTAGAAGAGAAATATGAGGAATTTAAGGCCATATTTATCCCTTTATTTGTTCTTCTCTCAAAAACCTGTTTAAAATTATTTAAAATTTCCCAATTTTTTTGTACTGATCTGCCAGATCCCTTATCTCCCATTTCTTGAGCAAATTGTTGGCCAATTGCCGACTAATTACATGGCCTAAATGTTTCGCCAACTTGCCCCACCACCATGTGGCAACAAACACACCCTCTGGTCCAGTCTGGTCCAGTGACTCAGTTTGACTTAAATGTTTTAAAATTAAAGACCGTAAAGTAATTAGCATAATCAACAGTTTTGTTCATTCAATGAACAATTATACAATAACAAATAATGGAGAGGGAAATACATTTCCCCCCACTCCCCTCTACAACCTCTCGGGAAAAACAATTAGGAATAATAAAAAAAAAGTAAAAACTGAAAATCAGTGAGTTTTGTCGCTGTTTTCCTGTTTCAGTTTTTTTTTACCAACTTCCGCCGGCTTTTCCGCTTATTAAACAACTTTTTGTTGTCTTTTATAGTGTCGAGCACTGACCCCTCTTGTGGTTCTAACCCCGCCTCTGTTTTTCAGAACAAAAAAGTACTAGAATTGTCAACCAAATAGTTCGTGTGTGGCAGGTTTAATGGTCTCGTAAAAACAAACTTGAAATGTTTTAATGGTTTTTCTATTTTCTGATAGGAGTTTGGATTAATAGAGAGTTTTATTTAATATATTTTTTATTTATTTTATTTAGAATTTATATTTTCTTCTTAAAGTTAAACTGATGAACTCATAACTTGAACAAAACTCTCCCTTTTTTTTTGCTTTTAAAATGTCAACAGTTGTCAAGTGTTAATTGTGCTTATTTTTCTTTCAATTCGGAGTATTTTTTATACCTGGGCTGTTTTTTTATTTAAATGCACTTTAAAAAAAAAAATTATAAAATTTACATAAAAAATAAGAAAGTAGACTTCAGAGAGTAAGGGGATTTTTTGAAAAAGTAAACACTTGTTTTCTGTAGAATTTCTGGAAACTAATTAAATAAGAGAACTTTTTCTTAGAAAAAGTAGAGGGTTTTTTTTAATGTATTTGTTCTTAACACTTTAAAGAATTATTTACAATTTTAAAATATATTTCCCTCAGTGCCTTTTAGGTATCAGCTATATTTTTAGGCTGGCTTATGGTTCGTGTCAGGTTGCTGTTGCATTTATTTTCTCTTGGCCATAACAATTGTAATTGGCAACAGAAAAAAAAGGCGTTTACAGATCTCTGCCATATGTTGTTGGTAATTTGAATTGAAAATGGATCTGGTGGCGTTTGTAGTTTTAAAGTTTATTTTTATTTCAAAGCAGCGTCAGCAGTTGTCAGGCGGCGGCAGCGGCAACATTAGACCTCTTACTTGTGCTGCACATGCAATTTATGTTGCCAAGTTGGTGTTGCAACTTGAGAAACTGCTGACCTGGTCGCTGGAGAACTTTTGTCTCTGGACCGGTTTCTCTGGTCACTGGTCACTGGTGATCGAAAACTTTCGATTGGGCCTTAAATGAGGTCGAGACCGCCAGGCCAAAAGCGAAAGTCAAGTCCAGTCTGTATATATTTTTTGATTGTTGTTTATGGGGTGTGCCATTTAGCCATTTAGTCATTAAAGATCTTCTTAAAAAAAAAACACAAATGTCTGAAACAGCTGTGTATTTGGCAAAGTCTTTTCTATAAGGGTTGCAAGTTGCAGGTTTCTACTTTGCATGTTGCAGGTTGCTAGCTGCTAGTGTCTGCAGTCTTTGGTTGCTAATCGATTGTTTTTTGCCGACCTGGCACTTCCGTTTTAGACTTCCTATTCCTCTTCCTCCTCCTCTGTTTTTTGTCAAGCCATCAAAAAAAACAAACAAAACTTGAGTGCTAAGAAAAAAATTTTATGGAAATCAACAAAAAATTATTTACAATTTCTTTAAAAAAAAAAATTACTTACAGATTTAATGAAAATTAAAAAAAAAAAAGCTAAAACGAGACAATGATCAAGTTCCGTTATAAACGCAAAGAGCCCACAAATGTGGTGGGCGTGGCAGGGCCAGGGGGTAGCCCCATAGCTGCGGCAACAACACCCCCGACAGTCACACCCACGAAACCTGCAGCAAGTCCTGCCACAAATGGAGTAGCAACATCACCGCTAACAGGAGGACAAGGATTAGGACTAGTCTCTGGACCAGGACCAGTACATGCCACTGCCCTGCACCACCACCCACAGCTGAGCCACCTCATGGGCAACAATGGTGGCGGCACTCTGCCCCGCAGCAGTCCCCGGAAATTGTTCCTCGACGGTGGCGACAAGTCGGCGACCTTAACCCGCCAGCAGTCCAAGCCCAAATCGGTCAGCGCCTTGGCCAAAGTGGCTAGCAGCGTGGAGCTGGCCGTAATGGGCTATAATGGTGCCTCCAGTGGCGTCTCCAATGGGGGCAACATCAATGGAAATGCCGAGCGAGATCGCTGCATCAATGCGGTTATTGTAAGAAATTGTTATGATTTTTTTAAAAGAGTTTAAAAAAATGTTTTTAAATAGATTTTATAGATTTTTAGCTTAAGGATTTTTTAAAGAAGAAGATTTAAGATTATGCTAATTATTTTATAATAGTTTTAAATTAAGTTTTTAACTCAATATATTATTTTTCAAAGTTTAAGTAAAAGTATAAACTAAGTTCATTGAAATAGTAGTCCTACAAATTAGTTTTAAAGTTAAAAAATGCTTTACAAAATGAAGAATAAAATATTTAAAAATTTATAAACTTTATTTCTTAAATCTAAAACTTAAAAACCTTAAACTAAATCCTAATATCACCTTTTTTTTTGTAGGAACTCTTCCAGCAGCTGCAAACCTCTTCAGAACCAGCCCTCTGCCCGGAGCCACTGCGTCGTGCTTTGGCCAGTGGTCCTCTGGCCGGACGAAGGTTTCCCCTGGGCTGTCTGGGTGATGCCGCCGAGTGCTTCGAGTTGCTGCTGCATCGCGTCCACTCGCACATCTCCCAGGATGATGGCGACTCCTGCGAGTCCGCCGCTTGCATTGCCCATCGACGGTTCGCCATGCGGGTGATTGAGCAGAGTGTCTGCAAGTGTGGAGCCAATTCTGAGCAGTTGCCTTTCACGCAGGTTAGTGGTTTTTAGCTTTAAAATATTTTGTAAATATTAAAAATATATTAAATATTTTTTTACAATTTTTGAAGGGGTTTTTAAACCCAGTTTGGACCTACATAGTTAGAGCTCTTAAGTCTTAAAGACATGCTTTTATAATTTGAAGAGCTTTTAGCAACTAAAAGTCTTTTTTAAAAATCTTTAAAAAATATTAAAAGCTTAAAAATCATTTTAAACTAATCTTAAATAAAAAATGCATTAAAAAAACTACTTAAATCCTATAGTTGTTTGATGGTTTATCTAAAACCTGTCTTGTTATACATTTGTTTCTCCACCAAAGTCTCTTGTATAATTTTTGAATAAATATCTCAAAAATTATCTTAAGTTTCAGCTTTTTGGAAATTTTTTTGGGCAGTGTAGTAACTAGTTTTGAGATACAATCTGTGATCGAATCGGAGGCAAACTTGTGGCGTGGGTTCCAGTTTTTGGCACACCTGCAACACCGTACCATGTTGCACTTGTCGACTTGGAGAACAGTTAGACATCCGATCATTATGCGGATTTCTGTAAAAAATAAAAAAAAAAACAAGTTATAGACATGCACATGCAGATTAGCCATAAACCGAGAAAAGTCACTCGACCAGTTAACCCTTAAATGGGGAATCGAATACGGTTTCCAGATCTCGATCTCGATCGATGACGTTAGCCAGCCGTGTGGGCCATTGTGGGCGTAGCACTTCCGTCTTGACCAAAAGTTCAGCCTCCTAATGAGTTTATGGTTTTTTTTTTTTTCAGATGGTACACTATGTCTCGGCCTCGGCCCTGACCTCCCAGAAGAGTCTGGCTCTCCAGAACCACCAGCAACTGAGCTTCGGACAGCTCCTGAGGGCGGCCGGCAATATGGGAGATATCCGTGATTGTCCAGTAAGTCCAGTAATCCTAGAGATTCAGAGAGAGGGAGAACTAATCAAGAAACTTTCTCTATAAACAGAACACCTGTGGCGCCAAGATCGGCATCTGCCGGGCTCTGCTCAATCGACCGGACGTGGTCTCCATTGGCATCGTTTGGGACTCGGAGAGACCAGCCGCCGATCAGGTCCATGCCGTCCTGAAGGCCGTGGGCACCAGCCTGCGGCTTGGGGATGTCTTCCATCAGGTCAGCGAACAGAGATGGGCCCAGCAGACCCAGCACGAGCTGGTGGGAATCGTGTCCTACTATGGCAAGCACTACACCACCTTCTTCTTCCACACCAAGCTGAAGGTGTGGGTCTACTTCGACGATGCCAACGTCAAGGAGGTGGGTCCCAGCTGGGAGGGAGTGGTTGACAAGTGCAGTCGCGGAAGGTATCAGCCCTTGTTGCTGCTCTACGCAGTGCCCCAGCAGCCCTCGATGAGCTCCACGCTGGAGGTGTCCAATCCGGTGACCAGGCGAGCAGTGACTCCGAGCCCGGAGAAGCCCTGCTTGGGCAACACCCGGAGGGCCATCACCCCTACGCCGTTGAGGTCTCCGGTGAACGATTACCAGAACCTGAGCGTCATCCAGAAGAACATCTTCCCGGGGGGAGATGAAACCGATGCCTACATCAGCCGCAAGACTGTGGAGCACGTCCTGAGTGCCCAGTACCAGAACCTGAGCGTCATCCAGGACAAGATCCAGGGACAGGGCCCGGCTGTCACCCAGAACGGCGACAAGGACGGCGGCTTTCTCAACCGAAAGCCCATCGAGGCGGTGCTGAGCGCCCAGCTGGCCAGGAGGCAGCACCTCCAGCTCCAGAGGAGCCACAGCGCCGAGTCCAGCTCGGGCCACGGCTCCAGCTCCAATGGCAGCTCCCCGCCCAGCGATGGACTCACCATGCCGGAGCATCTCAACCAGCCGCGTCGCAGGGATTCGGGCAACTGGTCCGGTGACAGGAACAGTGCCAGCTCCGCCAGTTCCACCACCCTGGACAACCCCTATCTGTACATGGTGGCCAAGAGGGGCGTCGTGGGGGCAGTACCCCAGAGCCCAACCCGCCATGGACTGCCCTACGACCCGGGCTATGATTCCTTCTCGCTGAGCTCCACGGACTCGTATCCGCCGAAGCACGCCCTGAACCCCCAGCTGGCCAAGATCCCCGAGGCGGCCAACGGCGGCGGCGGAATGAGCCACGGAGGCATGACCCTGTCCGGGGACTGTGAGAAGCTCTGCCATGAGGCGGACCAGCTGCTGGAGAAGTCCCGGCTGGTGGAGGAGTCGCACGACCTGGAGACCGCCTTGGTACTCTGCAACGCGGCTGCCGGAAGGGCAAGGGCGGCCATGGACGCTCCCTACAGCAACCCACACACCATGACCTTTGCCCGGATGAAGCACAACACGTGCGTGATGCGGGCCAGGAGTCTCCACAGGCGCATCCTGGTGGAGAAGGGCGCCGAAACGGAGGCCATGCCGGAGCTGAAGCATATGCGGGAGGGCAGCACCTCCAGCGTCGTGAAGCACGTCCGCCAGAACAGCAAGGATCGCACCCTGGAGAAGGAGCAACTGTTCCAGCAGCAGCAACAACAGCAGCAGCAATCCATCCCGGCCAGCATTGAGATCTATGCCACGCTGCCCAAGCGGAAGAGTCCACTGAAGGCTCTGGCCACCGCCTCGGCGGTGTGCGACGACAATGCCATCGAGTACGAGCAGGAGAAGCCGATGGCCGCCAAGCCGGAGCGGGAGAGCCGCTCTCTCTTCGGCCGCAAGGACAAGGACAAGGAGAAGGAGAAGCGCAGCCGGAGCGAGGATCGCAACAAGCTCACCCGGGAGTTCTCACTCACCGAGACGCTCCTGGTGAACGCCAAGGACACGCTGAAGAAGCACAAGGAGGACAAGGACGAGAAGAAGGAGAAGGACAAGAGCGGCAAGAAGCAGCACAAGATTAGGCGCAAGCTCCTGATGGGTGGACTCATCCGGCGCAAGAACCGCTCCATGCCGGACCTCACCGAGGCGGTGGATGATGTCGCCAACAGCAACATGTCGATGAACCACCACCACGCCCACCACTACCCCAACCAGACGCCGGCCAGTCTCCTGGGCAGCTCCGTGGACGACAGCGCCGTGGGCCTGGGCAAGCACGGAGTCAGCATGAGTGGCTACATCTCCGAGGGACACTTCGACTGCTCCACCTCCGCGGGCAGCTCCGGCGCCAGCGGCAGTAACCCCAATCCCAACCTGGAACGGAGCAAGCTGATGCGGAAAAGCTTCCACGGCAGCGGCAGGCAACTGACCATGGTGCCCAAGGTGGCGCCTCCGCCGCCCATGAGAACCAGCTCCACCCTGACGCCCCAGCAGCAGCAGCAGCAGCAGTTCCACCACGAGGCCAACCTCTCGAATCTGTCGGCGATGAGCTCCAACACCTCCATCAGCGAGGACTCCTGCCAAACCATCATCACCACCTGTGCCCAGGTCCACTCCGAGCAGAGTCCCCTGAAGGACATGCAGATGCTGGGCGCTGGTGAGGAGTTGCCCCTGCCCCTGCCGCCCATGGAACTGCCACCGTATCCAAGTCCTCCCCACTCCGTCTGCCATTCCCGGCAGGCTAGCGAAGACTTCCCGCCGCCACCACCCCCAGAACTCGATCTGGAGCCGCTCAACCAGCAACTGAGCCAGCTCCAAGCCCTGGAGGCGGCCAGCAAGCAGCAGCGCCAGCAACTGGACTCCCTGGAGGGCACCACCAGCATCCTGGCGCAGCTGCAGCAGCGGCAGCACCTCCTCAAGATGCGCAAGGACAGCGCCCAGGCGCCGCAGGACCCCAACTGGCTGAAGCAGGCCAACGACCTGCGGGCCATGCAGCGGAAACTAGAGGCCTCCTCGCCCAGCAGCGTCCGGGATCTGGCCAACCGCTTCGAGCAGACCTCCATTCGGTCCTACGCCTCCCAGGAGCTGCTCTCCCAGCCGACTCCAAGCGTTCAGCAGGTCGGCCCGCAACTGCGCACCCAAATGAACGGCCTGCCCAGCTCCAAGCTGGACGTGGACGAGGTGGACTGCATGCCGGCCAGTAGGACGGCCACCCTGCCCCATCACCAGCTCCTGCCCAAGCCCAAGTACGAGATGAGCCAGTCCCAGATTGCCGAGGAGATCCGCGAGGTGGAGCTGCTGAACACCATGGTCCAGCAGACGCTTAACCAGAACCAGGGCCCCAATCCTGGACAGAAGCGGGTGAAGAAGAAGAGTGTCTCCTTCTGTGATCAGGTGATCCTGGTGGCCACGGCCGGCAATGAAGAGGACGATGACTTCATTCCCAATCCCATCCTGGAGCGAGTCCTGCGAACAGCCCAGCATCCGAACGAGAAGGTGACGGCCCAGATGATCCAGCAGCAGCAGCAGAATATGCTGAGGTTGCAGACGGAGGCGCAGCCAAGACAGCAGCAACAGGTACAGCAGCAGCAGCAGCACTTGCAACAGCAGCAGATGCAGCAGCAACAGTTGCAACAACAGCAACTGCAACAGCAGCAACAGCAACTCCAACAGCAACAGCAGCAACCTTCTCCCATGCTGGGCCGACCTGCTGCAGTTGCCACCGATATGCAACGTTATGTGCAACGCATGCAACAGCAACAGCAACAACAGCAGCAGCAACAGAATCGCACTAGTATGAGCGGCATTGCCACGCAACAGCACTTGCCACAAATGGATGCGCAGTACACAAGCATGCCACGGCCGTTGCATCATCAGCAAATGATGCTGAACCAGAGCTACTCGGTGCAACTCCAGAAGCATCAGCAACAGATGCAACAGCAACAACAGCAGCAGCAGCAACAGCAACAGCCGCAGTTGCAACAACAGCAGCAACTCAATATGAGTTACTTTAGCAATGGGACTGTGGGCGTGGCAGAACAAATGCCACTCCCTTCGCCTTATCAACGTGTGCCCATGCCACATGGCTACCAAGGACAAGGTTACTACCCACAGCAACAGTCGCAGCAACAACAGCAGCAGCAACAGATGCAACAACAGCAGATGCAACAACAGCAGCAACAAATGAAGAAGAAAGTCAGTTTCGAGCCAGGAACTAAGGGAGAAGCTGACTGCCTGCCACCGCCACCGCCGCCGCCCCAGAAGAATGGCCTGCCAGAGGCAGGAGTACCTGGAGGACCAAATGCTGTTACTCCCGGACTCCCTAGTGGCGCCACCACAGCCATACCCACCCGCGTCTACAACAATGCAATCGTCAAGGCCTCGGCCAAGGCGGTGGAGTGCAATCTGTGCCGCAAGAGGCATGTGATTGCGCCGGCAGTTTATTGCACCAACTGCGAATACTACCTACAGATGCTGAATCAGCGTCGGTGATCCTGAATTCCATGATCCTTTTTTTTTTTGCCCCCAAAACCAATCCAAATCTCTAGTGCAACATTTCTAGCCGTACAAGGAAACCGATAATCTCATGCAAGCCATGCTGCCACATCGCCACATAAGGACCTAGCTGAAGGATGTAAATACAACGAAGACGAGAAGGATGAGGAGGACTCTGTGCCAGGATAAAGGACACCAAAAGGCCAAAGGATCACGAGTAGAATGAGGAGACAAACTAACACACGTCCTTCTATGGTTCGACATGAGAAGCCACCGCTGTGCCAACACTAACACCATCATCCCATCAATCACTCAATCACTTTCGAGAATCAATCATCAAGGACATCAACCATTCGATTGGACATGAACAATGCATTCCCTTTACCGCCTTTAGCCTGGCCAATGCTCTTCCTCAAAAATCTTAATTTTTATAAATTTTTTTTATTATGTATTTTTTTTAAACATTATCTTAATTTTAATTAAAAAGTCGATTTTTTTTGTGAGCCAGAAGTTCGAAACTCAGTCGCTGAGCTTCCTATTTTTTTTTTGTGAGTTGTTGTCCAACGACACTTGCTTTCCATAAATCCACTTAATTTTTTTTTTAAATTAATTTTATATTTTTATGATCTAGCATTTATTTTAAAATCTTTTTTTTTTACAATTTTTGTACTTAATTAGTTGTAAGCCATTCGAGTGTACTTTATTGTGTCTTATGCATTTAAAACAATTCCGTGTATTTATAGTGTTTATATTAATTTTTACACATTTTTTATACGATTATACATATACCTATATATATATATATTTTTATAATGATTTTTTTTCGAAAAAATATACAAAAAAGATTTCTCTTTGCAGAACACGAGTAACGAGAAAAAAAAGAGATGTCAAGCATCCAAAAAAAACGGTAAACAACTATTTTTTCTAAATAAATAAAATACAAAAAATAAAACTTGTTTGTTTTTATTTGAAAGGGAATTGGAAGAAGTTTTCACCTTTTAAAATTAAAAATTCCAGACTTTGATGGTTTATTACAGTGCCGCCATCTATGTGTGGTAAATGAGTCTTGGCTTTAGCCAAGTTCCTTACCAAACGGTTAATGGCTGTGGACTCTTTTCATTTCCGGTTTTGGTATTGGGCGGAAATGGTTTGGCGGCCATTGAAAGGGAAACCATGTTTTAAAAACAGAAAATATTAAAATTATGGTTTGAAATGCTTAAAATAAGAAATTAAAAAAAATAAAAATATTTACCAATATTTACCAATATTTAATAATGAACCAAAATATAGAGAAAGTTTAAAAGGAAACTTTTAAAGTCAATATTGTATATTTCACGAAAGACTTTTATTTAAAATACACTTATGTTTTCTTATTTTAAAATTAAAAAAAAGGCAGCCTTATATTTATTTCTTTAAAAAATTTTGTTGAAAACACTGCCTCTTGTAGGTTTTTGGTGCCTTTTTCCCAATAAAAAACATCCTTCCAATTCAAATTCAACTATAGAGGCCGCCCAAGTGCATTACTGCCTCGAAAAACCTACCCTATTTTCTGATTAGAGTTTCCGCTTTGGTAAGGATTCTCCCCAGCAAACCGGAAATAAGCCCGAGCGGAGCGATTCACGGAACCGGTTCTGCCACCCCTGTCAAGGCACCCAGGCACCTGCTGCTGCTGCTGCTGCCTTCTGCCAGAGTCGCTCCTGCTGCCTTTGGCACATTCCACAGGCCACGGACCACGGACAACGGACCAGGGCACGGACAAAACGATACTTGCCACCCCCGTGCCACATTCGGACTCGAATATCGATCCCAAGCACGCGCTCTAGCAGCCAGCCGAAGTCGATTTCGGAATCGAAATTCGAAATTGCGAAAATCCGAAAAGGAACAAAAAAGAGGCAACGTTAACCCCCGAGCTGGCTGGGCCGCTCGCAGTCGTTTGTGAGCGTTCGCAGCGTCAGGTACGTCTCCAGTCCTCCAGGCTCCACAAGAAAAAAAAATCAAATTCCAACGGGATCTCAGAGCAGAGCTAAGCTCAGCCTTGCTACAAGCTCTCTCCGCCAACGTGCCACCGAGAGAGAGAGAGCAACCAACAGAGAGAGAGAAAGAGGAACAGAGCCCCCCCAAAGGAAGAGAGAAAGCTAGCCAACGTTCTTGTTGTTATTGCTGTTGTTGTGTCGGCGGAAGTGGGAGAAGGAAAAAAGATTTAACAAAAAAAACACACACGAAAATGTTGTACACTTTTTTTTTGCTGTTTCCAAAAAAAGTTCATAAAGTGCTAGTGAAAAAATAAAGATTAAACCAGAAGAGAGAGAAAGAGAGAGATCAAGATCAAAACACAGTGATTAAATCTCGAAAAAAACAAAAACAAAAAACAATTACTGATAATTGTTGTGATTTGTTGTGGCAATTTAGTTGGTGACGGAAAGAAAATAATTATTTGCTAAAAGATGCATGTGATAATAGTGCCCTGCACTTTGCAGCACTGCGCAGTAGCCGAGAGCAAAACTGGGAGAGAGAGAGAGAGAGTGGGAGTCAGAGAGCCAAAATGGCAAATGCGCAGTTACCTTTTGGGTGGACCTGCGTAAAAGCCCAAGCCCGAGCCAGAGACCGAGCTCTAGACCGAGTCAGCAAAAATGTTAGGCTACACTCTAAAGTTTATAGTTAATTCCAAAAAATATTTAAATATTTCAAACTAACTTGTATTAGTTTTAAAATTTAACTTGCATTTTATAATTTCAAGGATTAAGTTTAAGAGAACTTCTCTCTAGTAACCCTTAGCTTTTGGCTCTCTTATTGGCATTTTTTTTTTTTTTTTAGAAATCCTCTCTCCCCCGCAGCCTTCTACTACGTTCTACAATCGAATACTACGGCGACACAGAAACACACAGCCATACAGAGTTGACATTTTCCGTTGCATAGTTTTTGGGGCAAGAACTGACGGCCAAGACAAGGACTCTTTCATAAACTAACCAACTAACTTGCAACACCACAAATCCAAACGAACTAATCCTTAACGAAATAAAACTATTATTATTATTATTATTATTTTGTATTTTTATTAATTATATATAACTGCTATAGTTGCAGCTTAAGTGTTAAACGAACAAGCCAACCGAAATCAACTTACAAAAAATTAATCAACAATCCAAAAATTATAAAAAAAACAAAAATCGAATAAAAAACAAAAACAAAACCCAAAAAGACTCTTAACGAAATAAAAACAATCCCCGAAATAGGAGATTGCGAATCGTAATCGGATTCTGATTGAGATCCACTAAGGACACGGGACAAGGATCCAAACGGTCAACAAAAAAAAAAAAAATAACAAAAAAAATAAAAGGAGTTCGAAGAATGTGCGCCGCTCTGCGTCGTAATTTGTTGCTGCGGAGCCTCTGGGTCGTCCTGGCCATTGGCACCGCTCAGGTTCAGGTGAGTCACCAAATACCATAACATATACATATGTACATACTATATACCCGATATATAACAATATATATACTATGATACTATATACTTTAGTAACCCCCTTCTTCTTCTTCTTCGAAGAACGAAGGAGTCGGCGGTGGCGGTGGCGGCGGCGGCAACGGCTGCCCGAAAGACCCGAAACAGAAACCCAAACCGATGTCGAGACCGAAACAGAAACAGAAACAGTGACTGAAACAGCAACACCAATACTAATACCAATACAAATTCCAAAGAAATACACTTAGAAAAAAATAGATAGTATTTTTAAAGGGAGTACAAGAGAATATAATATAGGAATCAGGAGGTATATAGTCTTAGAAATCTTTTAAAATCTTTAAATACTAACTATAGTTTCTTATTTTTTAAAAGAGTTGGGAGAGAAGTTAATGGAACTTTGGAGAAAGAAATTCTTTTATAGTTTCTTTTCCATATTCTAGGAATTTCTTATAATGAAATATACTTAAGATCTACATAGATTAAATATATTCAAGATCTTGAATATAATAACAGATCTTAAATGTGTTTTCTAAGGTAAAATCTTGTAAGAAAAGGCTTACAAGCTTTTAAGACTTAAAATCCACATATAAGAGGTTAAAGAATCTAAAAAGTTTCTCTAAAAAATACTAAAATAAATACTAAAATACTAGACTAAAGTCTCATAGCTCAACTCAATGCTAACAAACTATTAAAACATTAAAGAAGTTAAGAAATCTTCAAAGTTTCTTAAAAAAATTAAAAAAATACTAGACGTCGTAGTTATATAACTAAACCCAACACTAACGTAAGAAATCTTTAAAGTTTCTTTAAAAAATACTAAAATAAATACTAAGAAATACTAGATTACCTAGTCATAGAACTCAACTTTCTTAAAAACTCTCTCTCCTTAAAAACAAAACCTTCAAAAATTAATTAAATACATACTATTTATTTTTCACTGTGTATAAGCAATACAAAAATCCCAACCACAGACACTCTCACTCACACACACACACACAGAACACTAACACTAAGGCCAAATACAAAGACAGCTCACGCACAGGACGAGAGACAGATACACAAACACTTGAGCGGGTTTTCTGTTGTGGCCGTGGGGGCTAAGCAGCCGCAAAGTATGCTACGAAAAATGTGCCATCGCTTAGCAGCGTGCTGTTGAGGTGTGTGTGGGTGTGGGTGTGGGTGGTTGGGCGATGGGGTGGGTGGTGTTGGCTTAGCCCTTGCCAAAAAACTAACAACAACAACAGCAGAAAAACATTGGAAGGCGCGAGTGTGCGCAAATATTGGCTTAATTGAACCGTTTTCTTTTCGTTAGCCTGGCTTTTGAAGCTTACACAACCGCAAAAAAAAAGAAAAGAAAAGACACTGAAGCTCTAACCAATTTGCATATGAAATCAGCTAGAGAACTAATTTCAATGGTGAGAGATCCTAAAGGGGATCTCGAAAATCCCAACAATAATTGCCAGAATACCGATTCAGATTTATCAATTTAAAGATATACACAATCATATATATACTGTTGGTTATTGTTGGCTTAAACTGAAATGCTTTTTCAAATCATTTCAAAAACAATTTCTGCCCGGGACAAGACCAGTTTTTCTTTAGGGCGGATGGGAGGGCTTTCGAGCTCCTGGCTTTTCTCGACCCACAATCGACGACGTGCCTGGCCTTAACAATTTTCCCTACAAAACGTATTTTCTCTTAAATAACTCAAAGCAATTTGCCTTGGCAACGGACACACGGACAAGCGGACAGCGGACAAAAACCGGAGTGAGATGGAACATTTTGTGGTGAAAACAAAAACCTTATCAAATTCATATACATGGGAGCTTAAGTAATAGAAAGAAATCAGAAGGGAAGAAAAGGTGCAGGATCTCCTGCAGAAATCCTTTCTGGTCTGAGGGGGTGGTGGGTGTTGTTAAGCGGCTTTATACATACCGCTTTCATTGGACAGTATGGTATGGTTTTTCAATGCAGGCTGCAATTTGTTTTGCTTTTCTTACCTACCAGACTATAGAGTATATAGCATAGAGCATAGAGGCTCTATATCTTGTATACTCTAGACCCTGAAAGCTGGCCCTCTTTTCAACTGGCTGGGTCTTTCGGGCTGGGGTTTTGTTGGCCCTGATACTTTAATGCCGCTATTCATGCTAGTGCAATTTATGACTACTGGGACTAGCCCAGGGAATGTCCAGTAACCTAACCCACCCACTGGTAGAGGACTAACCACCCTGGGCGTTATCAGTGGCACGCATCGCCCGTCAACGTTTCTGGTGGTTGCTTCTGTCCTCTCCTTTAAAGAAAAAAAAAAAACCCTGGAAACCCTGAAAACCCCCCAACCTGCTCGGATTTTTTTGCCTTTTTTTTTTTTGAAGGACTTTACGTTCGCATGTCTGACTCATCCGCAAGGCAAAAGCTGGCTCACAATGTGGTGCAATATGCCCGAGCATCTACCCAAACACTCGATGCACCGCCACACCACCACCACCACCACCCATCCTCAGGCCCCACCGATAACCCCTCCACCCTTCAGGACAAAAGGGAACACGCAATCGTCGCTGCCAAACAACCCATACAAAGTCCCTTGACAGAGGCGGGGTTTTCACTACAGCCCGAGAGGGTGTAGGGTGTAGGGTGTAGGGTAGTTGCAGGACTGCCGGTGGGGGAAGGGGGTGGTGTCTTTGGGTGTCGTTGGCCATTTGATTGTCGGCTGGGAACACACTGCTGCTGCTGCTTCTGCTGCTGTCGGCCAACTTTAGAATCCAACCCGGTCGACCCTCTCTCTAGTTTCTAGAACCTACTCCAGGACCTGCCACTGCCACTGCCAATGCATTGGAGTCAACTGAATTAGTTGCTTCGCTGCTTGTTGGTTGATAGAAAAAAAAAAAAAAAAGGATATAAGAGAATAGGAGGGGACCATGAGTCACCCGCTGGGTATGAAATGAATCATCCGGGAATGCTATCCCAGCCGCCGTAATGGAATTTCCCAGTTGCCGTAAACTTTTTCAGGAATTTCGCGATTCGATCCAAAATATGCAGCGCATTGCAGCCTGAAGACCGACCAACGACCACCGACCACTACACCCCCCCAACTCTTCATTATATTCTAGCCACTGGAATGCACTGGCATGCACTTGAAAAAAATAAAGAAGACTTCTTATTTGAAGAGTTTAAATTTCAGTTCGCGAGTTCGAAACTCATGAGAGTTTTTTATAAAAAATGTGTCCTGCTGGCCTTTTCTTTTGTCATTTGTCAGTCTGAGAGTTGTCCACGTCCACGTCCACGTCCACGTTCCTGTCCATCGTTCATTAGTTGTGGTGTCGATGTCACATACACATATGATACAAAAAAAAAAAAAACTGTGTGTGGTGATGTTCTGTGGGATGGTGGTTTTGGAGGTGAAGGTGGAAAACCCACTGACTGTGCAGTGACCCCAACTTCCCAACGATTCCCTCCTTCAGGGCTCCGAAGCTCCTGCTCCTGATCCTTTTGTTTGCTGTTTCTGGTTCTGTTTCTGTTTCTGTACTGTCCTTGTTGCTTTGGGTTGTTTTTTTTTTTTTTGTTGCCCAAAGAGTGGGGCTTAGGGTTTCTCGTTTTGTCCTGCCATAACAGCCACCACCTCCTCAGCACCAGCTCACTCCTCAGCCCATCATCATATCCTGTTACAAAGCATTTACGCTTCAATGATTTTTTTCGATTATGCATTTTGCTCATTTCAACGTTGACAAAGGGGATCTGGGTCCTGGGCCGAGGGCTCTGAGCCGTGGGCCGTGGGCCTCCGGACTTGGGCTAATGTGGCCATTGTCTGTGGCTCAGTTGATGTGTCAGAGTTGCTGGAATTAAGGTTAAGTGCTCCTGGCCAGCGATTCTCTGTCCCTATCTGCTCACAACAACCCCCCAACAACATTTTCAAGTATCGAGTGGTATGGTGGTTGCGCTCAGGTGGTTCAGCTAAGGATTCGGGTGGTTCTTGGGTTCAATTCAATGCTAGGCCAAAACGTGGGTCAACAACTTTTATCCGGTGTATGTCGTCGGTTGGCAAGGTGACAGCCCTACAGAGAGCTTCTTCATGCTTCTGTCTTCTGGCTCTTCAGTTCAAATCCAACCTGGCAACCTCGCAACCTGACAGTCTATCCTGGCTATCCACGTTAATGATAATGATGCCCTGCTCCGATAATGATAATGACGATGACTCACAATCGAGCAAATGAACCAGAATGAATGACAAACGTAAACGAAACGAAATGAAATGAAATGAAATGAAACCAAATGAAAAGAAATGGGGGGGAAAGCGTCGGCAAAGAGGCATAAAATTGTCGTAGAAGGCTGGCAGTCGTGGCTCAAAGGTGCAGATAGCGGAAAATAGAAGGGGCATGGCTTCAAGGGGGCTACAAGTCAGGGGGTTAACTTGGCTATAAGGGGGGTTAACCATAAATGAATGTGAGGCTAGGTTCAAAGTGCAAATCTAAACAGGAGGTTAGGTTTGGTTTAAAAACTAAAAACTTATAGAAATACAGAAGAATCAAGAAACATGCTTTGTAGCCTGATTTGAGCCTTAAAATCTGGCTTGACGAAATATTTTTTCGATTTTTTTCAAAATTTTCGTGGGGAGACCCCTGCAAAAAGTGGGATTTTGGGGTATGGCCCACTGGGAAGGCCATATCTTGGCCGATTCTCATCCGATTCTTGCGAGGAATACCTTAAACGATTCGTGGATGGATTCCTCACCAATCTGCATCAAAATCTGATATCAAAATATTTTTTCGATTTTTTTCAAAATTTTCGTGGGGAGACCCCTGCAAAAAGTGGGATTTTGGGGTATGGCCCACTGGGAAGGCCATATCTTGGCCGATTCTCATCCGATTCTTGCGAGGAATACCTTAAACGATTCGTGGATGGATTCCTCACCAATCTGCATCAAAATCTGATATCAAAATATTTTTTCGATTTTTTTCAAAATTTTCGTGGGG